CGCATGCGCTCTTAAATTCGCGATGCTTAACAATAATTAACTGTCCTTAATTATTGAAAATAAAATCTCAGCGCTTCCCTGATATCTCAACATTAATTCCTGCGTTATTTGCTACCATGGGAGAGATAAGTCTCTCACAACTGAACTGATAATAAAATATCCGCTGATCTCCAGTCAGCCACGTGTGTCCATTACTGCGTCACTTCCGATGTTAGGATGACGGCATTTTGGCTCTTTTATCGGTCACATCCAAAATCCCGTCAATTATCAAAATTCAAATAACCTGACGACATCTCTCGGCTTCCTGAAGATCCTCGAGGACGTCCTCAAATGCAAAGCGGTGGCGCGTAATTGAATTCAAAAATAAAACAAAATAAAATTAAAACATATTCTCCACTCTTCTCATTACCTCTCGCCATTGAAGGTGACTTGCCGTCGGGTGGAGGTCTCTAAAATCGCGAAACGGTCGAGAACCAGTAACTGGTACAAATACCACTTTACACCACATAGACAACGAAGAAGAATCAAGATACGCGATAGCGTATCTGCCAAGTTGACGTCGCAGGCAGAGGTGACGTCACAGGCAGAGAGCTGTCGTGTATTATATTACAGCTAACAACTCGCCCCTAACCCCTTAAAAAAACTTCAATGGCTTTTTTCCCCTTTAAACGCACGCTATTTTGCAAAAGTATCCTTAGATACATTGTATAAATCGCGGTTGATCTTTCTGATGCGATTTTTACTTTTTTCACTTATCGCATTATTACAAAAATAACTCCATAGCAACGGATACGAATTCACTTTTTCAAGAGTTTTATTTCGAGAGCGTTACTATTCCCTAGCGCTGTTTGGGTGGGCTGTTCTAGGGAATAAAACTAGTAAATTGGAGGAAATTGTCTGAGCTTACGGAATTCATCCGCACGAGTCCGTAGCGGTGGCGCATGAACCAGGATGGAGCCCGTGCTTGTAAGCCAATCAAAGAGCGTCAAGTCATTTAATCTTTGTGACTTACCCTTTAACAATTGGAATCGATTGTTAATAATTTAATGATTTGAATATGATAACCAAATTAAAAATTTTAGTTCAGTTAAAATTAATTACCCAAATAAGCTAATATTTGCGAATTGCTCTTCAACAATTGGAATCGATTGTTAATAATTTAATGATTTGAATATAGCAACTAAATTAACAATTTTAGTTCAGGTAAAATTAATTACCTAAATAACCTAATATTTGCGAATTACTCTTCAACAATTGGAATTGATTGTTAATAATTTAATGATTTGAATATAACACCCAAATTAAAAATTTAGTTCAGTTGAAATTAATTACCTAAATGACCTAATATTTGTGAATTACTCTTTAACAATTGGAATCGATTGTTGCTAATTTAATGATTTGAATATAACCACCAAATTAAAAATTTTAGTTCAGTTAAAATTAATTACCTAAACAACCTAGCATTTGTGAATTACCTTTCAACAATTGGAATCGAGTGTTAATATTTGAATTAAAATATTACCTCCAAATTTAAATTTTTTATGTGATATTTTTCAATGATCAACTTGAATGACTGAATAAAAACTAAAACATGAATATATAAATTATATTTCGTTAAGAAAAATTACTATGATGAACTAACACATGTCAGAGAGGCTTAAATCAGTTACCAATACTTTTGATTGCATCATTTGTTTGGTAATTATTGAAAAAAATTATTAAAAAAAATAAAATCATAAAAAAATGTTGTGAACAAATGGCGCCAAGTCGACGCTAATTTAAACGCAAGATAGAAGCATGGGACAATAACTCCATGGATGAAATCACACAATTTTTATAAAAATCATATAAATATTAAATTTAAAAAATCACAAAAAAATTTTGTGAAACAATGGCGCCAAGTCGACGTGAATCTGATCGCCTCCAAGACAGAAACAAGGGACAATCACTGAATAGTTGAAATCACACAGTAGGCGAACTGATTATGATATAATCTTATTTTTAAAAATACATGGAAATATTAACAAATGCCAAGTTTATGCTGACAGCGTCAACTAGGACAATTTTCCGCAGTTTTAGTTCCGATTGGAAAATCGATTATTGTTAATAAAGGCTT